AACTTGAGGTGTATTTGCGCATGCAGGAGAGAAAAGTTTGTTTTTTTTTTTTAGAGTATATGGCCAGCCTAGTGTTTCCCGATCGAATTTTCCTTCGGTTCCTCCAGCGAGATCTATACGAGATCGACTTCGACTGAGTTTTCGCCAAGTTCTCGATCGAGATATTTTATATATTCTGGTCCCTTTACGTTGACAAAACAGGCGATAAAATTTAGCTCTGTCTCGACTACAGCCTTCTCTTTGGAGATCTTTGATAGCCGTGCAAGAAGGAACTATTGGGTATCAGAATGCCTTTCGATCCATCAGATTTGATCGGCGACTCCAGAACGTTGACTTTCTCGTTCTTATTCTTGGTCAGTTGTTCGATTCTAGAGATGGGATTTCCGATCTGATCGCTTGCTCGATCTACTTTAACTTTATTAGACACCATCAACTTTTCATCAACTTTAGTGTCGCTTCTCTCTCGAAGTTGCTCAGACGAATAAACCGTCTGGATGCTCTTCAATTTTATCGGAACTTTCTCGTTAACTTTCGTGACCAAGAAATTTCTTTTATCGCCTTTGTGAACAATCTGTTGTCCTTTACTTTCCAATGTTCTTACGTCGCGCTCGCTGTTCCCATAACCAGGATTCAGAGGATCTAGACGCGGCTCTGTCACGCTCTTCTTTCTCTCGAGATATTCGAAGTTGTCGTTCGTTCCGAAAAAAGCTTGCGCTCCGGGAGGCGACAGTTCGGGAGCGAGCTTCTTCTTCGTCCGAGCAGACTTCTCTCTGATTTTCCTCAACAACTTGCTGTCTCTTCTCCGCTCCATCAGCCTCTGAATTTCGATCCTTTTCTCAGGGAGCTTCTCCTGCTGCTTGCTCATCGTAGCGATCGATCTTTCCTCGACCTTGCTTCTCTGGGCGATGGTCGTGATGGTGGCGATCGAGGCCTCGAGCTCCCTCTGTTTCCTCTTCATTCGCTCGTAGTACGTCTCCGAGTGCTTTTTGTCCTTGCGCGACATCTTGTAGTTCATTAGCTCTGGTCTAGACGCGGGGTTCAAGAAGTACGTGAACTTGGCCATCTGCTCGGCCCTCGAGCTCGTGGCTCTCCTCCTTCTCTCCTCTTTTTCCTCCTCGTCCTCCTCCTCCTCCTCGCTGGCTACGGCAGCCTCGCGATTCGCCGAGACGTTCCTCTCCGTTCGCACGAAGTTCCCTCTCTCGGGCCTGAACGGGTACGGGCTGGTTCTGATCACGTACGAACCGTCGACCTGCTCCACGCTCACGAATTCCTCCTCCTCTTGGTAGAAATCCTCGACCGGCCAGCGGTCGTTGTTCCAACGCGTCGTTGCCCTCGGCGTTGTTCGTTCCTCGTGGATACTCTCGAAGGCTGCCGCGACCAGGTCCCTCGTTTGTTCGTAGAACGCCAGGCTCTCGTATCGCGGGGGTAAGTACGCGGGAGTCGATGTTCGCGCATGCAACATCATCACGTCGGTATCGACGGCGGCGGCGGTGGTATTGGATGTACAAGTGGCGGTTGTGTCGATAGCATTGTTAGAATCGGGGTGGCAGTTTGCGGCGGTAGTAGTAGTGGTACCAGCGGAGAAGAGTAAAGAAGAGGTGGTAGTACACGTAGCAGCGACAGAGTAGTTAGTAGTAGTAGTAGTAGTGGTAGTAGTAGTAGTAGTAGTGACGGCGGACGCAGCAGAAACGGTAGAAGTAGAAATGTAATCGGGTGTGGGGAGATGGTGCAGGATGCTCGAACTTTCATGCAAGCGGTATCTCGTGATTATGGCTGCTTCGTCACCTCGGCTGGATGTCATCGAGGACGTGGAGGTGGCTGTTGCAGGGCCACGGTGTTCCTCGGAGGACCTCGCGGTCCTCGATTGACCGGTGCCTCTCGGAGGGACGGGGGGTGGAATCTTGCCGGAGGGTACCAGATTCGGATTCGGTGGACTGGCGGCGGTCCTGCCCTTCAGTACGGCTGGATAGCTCGTGACCTTGGCCGCTGAGGTCGTCACCACCGGTTGCTCTTGATGAGGTTGGCCCGGACCAGCGGCCAAGGTCAACGGAGGCGGGCTCACCGGGCCCGCGGCGAAGTTCACCGGGGTGGAGGTGGCGATCGGCGCCGAACCGGTCGACATCACCGTGCTGGTCGTGCTGATCGCAGGGTCTGTCGGGGTCACTGTTTTTTTCGCGTCGTCCTCGTCGGGTGGCGGTTTCCAACGGCGTCGGCACGACGTCGCCCGGAAACGGGCCGGATTCGAACGCCACGAGGGTGGTTGCGCGTGCAGCGGCAACGGTGATCGAGTCGGGATAAAGAGACAGAGAGAGACAGAGAGACGGGGGCAGACAGAAACAGAGAAGCTGGGTGAGTGAGAGGTCGCGTGGCGATACGAATCGTGCAACGTTGCTTCGACCAAACCAGAACCTTTTTTGTTCGCGTCGCGTCGCGTCGCGTCGCGTGCGCGTTTGACGTCCGCGACGATTCATTTTAAATCGCAGACTTTCTACGAATTCTCCACATGTAACAAGTAGGATAATTCGAAGCAACGTGACATCGCTCGTTCAGAGAGAAAATATTAATACGCAACAACGGTATAACAACAACGGGTGGCTACGATTCAAAACTGTTTTATCATCGACAACAAGATCGATTCGGTAATATCTCTCTATCACATACATGTTCCTGTTACTATTTTCATTTATTTATTTATTTATTTTTTTCTTTTTTTTTCACCGTACTAGATACAACAGAATTCTTCGAGGAATTCGACAAGTTAAATCGGCAACAAGAAAGACCGCGATGGTAACACCATCAGAATATAAATAAAACGGATATTAGGAAAATAAGTGATCGTATGAGACTCACCAGCCTTCGTGGGTGACGTAGCATGCATTGTCGAAGTTCCGGTTGTCGGCACCGCTAAACCACCATACAACACCATGTACCATTACCGTATCACCATATGTGCGACTCTTGATCGGACAGAGAAACTTCCGGATCTGTTTTTCCATTCGGATCTTTGTGTTCCTCGCGCACAAAACGCACACGCCCACTTCTCGTTGTTCTCATTCGTCAGTACGATTATCGTACACAGCCGCGATCGGTCTCGTCCGCGTCGATTTCATTGTATTCTCGGACTTTCAAAGTCTCTCTGTCCAGTCACGGATCGAAGGTGTCCCGAAATAAAACAGGGACTCGAGCAAGGGACGTTCGAGGCAAACAAAAGAAAGAAGAGAGAGAGAGAAGAGAGAAAGAGAGATAGGGATTCGATGATCGGAATGCGCGCATTCGACTGACATTCACGATAGAAAGCTGTATACGTACGCTCTTTGCGTCTGCAGACAGAATCGAAAAAAAAAAAAAAAAAAAACGAGGTATCGAAGGGACGGATTGGCAGGCGGAATAGAGAAGCCGCAAAATATTCTCGATATTCTTCGACAATCGCAACGATGTCTCGTTTTTCAATACTTTTAGCTTCATCGTCGACGATTTATTAAATCGATCACGTAGGTATCGTAAGTAGCGCGGTGTGATTACTTGAAAGTTCGTCGTCGAACCAGTTGCGAGATGAGAATGAAATTGAGACGGGAAACGATACTATTTCCCAGTTTTACTCGTACGAGATGATCATGCTTAACCCTGCGGAAGTCG